TCGACTACTTCTGAATACCCCTCCTGTAGAGGGACAGGCCCGACTTCAGCTCATCAGCTCAGGGAGGGAGGCGTCGTAGATCAGCGACTGGCCCGCCGCACTAGGAGGCCACATGCGAACCCTACCCCTACCCCCCACGATTTCGGAGGAGGAGGGTGGGGTTGCCCCCCCCCCCCCCCCCACACACGTCCTCCTTCGAGCTCCCGCCCAGGCCGGCCGCGCCCCCCCCCACCGCCCTGGGGCTACCAGACGGCACGCGCTCCAAGAGCGCAGCGCGTGCAGGGACACGCGCGCCCGCCGGGGCAGAGGAGCCGCCCTTCCGTCCGTGCAGCAGCCGACGTGTCCCCAGCCACGTGTATCCGGCCTCCCGGCATCCGCCCTCTCTCCCTCCTCCCTCGTCCCCTCCTCCCTCCCTCCCTCCTCCTCCTCCTCCTCCTCCCCCTCCTCCCTCCCTCCCTCCCTCCCTCCCTCCCTCCCTCCCTCCCTCCCTCCCTCCCTCCCTCCCTCCCTCCCTCCCTCCCTCCCTCCCTCCCTCCCCCTCCCTCCCTCTCCTCCTCCTCCTCCTCCTCCTCCTCCTCCTCCTCCGCCTCCTCCTCCGCCTCCTCCTCCTCTCCTCCTCCCTCCTCTCCTCCTCCTCTCCTCCTCCTCATCCTCCTCCTCCTCTCTCTCATCCTCCCTCCTCCTCCTCCTCCGCCTCCTCCTCCTCCTCCTCCTCTCCCGCCCTCCTGCCATCCCTCTCTCCCTCCCGCCCCTCAGGGCCGGGTCGGGTGAGTCGGGACGGGCTTGGCCGGGCTGGGCCGGGCCGGGCCTTCCCCTCTCTTCTCTCCCTCCCCCCCCCTCTCCGCCCCCTGTTCCACTTCCGCCGCTCCTTTGGAGGCAGGTCCGAGCCGAGGCGTGTTGCTGGAGGGCGGTCGAGGTTGAGTGCTTGGGCTCCTTTGGTGTCAGAAGCTGGGGCCGATGCTCCCTCGGCAGGATTTGCTATTCGAAGAAGCGTGCCTCGAGGTGGATCGGGCGGCCTCGAGAGGTCGGGCCAGGGCGAGGACGTCAGGGCCCAGGGTCGACTCAGCGCATCGTCCCTTGCCCCCATCCCTCTGCTCTCAACGGGCCACAGGCCCCCGTCCCATGGGTCGCGCTGAGCCGCGGGAGGGGTGAAGGGGCAATCTCGACGGCGCGCTGGCTCAGTCCCCTCCATTCTCCCTCCCCTCCTCCCCTGCTGATGCCGGTGCGCTGCTCCCCTCCCCTCCCTCTCCGCAGCCGCTCTCTCTACAGTCTCCCGCATCCCCTCCGGACGCCCAGAAGCCAGCGTGGTCCGCCTCGGATTAGATCGCCATGGCCGGGGAGCAGCTGAAGCAGGAAGATGTTCTCAAGTACTGGATGGACCACAAGCCGTCCCTGAAGGCAACCCTCCGGGCAGCGGCGACCAGTGAGCCAAACACCCAGGCGCGTGCTGCTCGAAGACCTTGTACGGGCGGGCCGTAGCGCCAGTGGGAACTCATGAACCCCGAGCAGCAGGAGTCCTGGCGAGCCGCGGCGGCCGCTGGGGGCCCCCCCCCGTCGCAGCCCGCCCTCGCGTTCACGGTCAGCCAGGGCGGCTCGCCCCCGGAAGGCCAGGGAGGTGCGGAGTCCCGGAGCGCCGCTCCAGCGCCGGAGGCCCGGGACCAGGCGGGCGCTTGCCCTGGGGCCGGCCAGAGCCAGGACTCGAGCTCTTTCCCGTCGCGCTGCGCCTGGTGCGGCAGGGCCCCCCTGTCTCCCTTCCAGCTCAAAGAGGGGCAGGGCCCCTTCCAGCACAAGTTCTTCTGCGGCGGGTGTTGGGACGCCTGGGAAGCGGAGCCAGCAACGCCCCCAGGGAGCCCCTCTGACCTGGGCCAGGAGCAGGCGCCCCAGCAGCACGCGGAGGCCCCGGAGTCGGCTGTTCTGCCCGAGGGGGCTGCGGCCCCGGAGCAGGAGGCCAAAGGGCAGGCCACCACCGGCGGCGGAGGGCCTCAGTCCGCGCGCGGCGCTCTAGCGGCACAGACCGGTCCTGGGACGCAAGAGGCCGTGGGGCTCCCAACCTCCGGAGCAGGGTGGGCGCCCGAGCAAGGTCTCCTGCCTGTGCAGTGCGTGGAGTGCGGCGTTGTGGGCGGTCCGGTCAAGGCGGGCTACTGCGAGTACTGCTGGACCACCTGGGAAGCAACGAACACTTCTCTGGCCGCCGGCGCCGCGCAGCAGTTCACGGGAGCAGCAGGGCACTCCGAGCCAGGTCAGCAGCCCCCAGCCAAGCGGGCCAAGTTCACGGGGCTGGAGCCGGACCCCTGGACAGGCCGTGGCGTCGGCGGGGCTGAGCCCGGGCAGGGTTCGGGTGACACGGCGGCCCTTGCCTGCATGGGATGTGGGCAGCTTGTGTACGCTCTTGTGGCAACCAAAGGGCCTTCGGGGTTGCGGCTCCTGTGCGGGGCCTGCGGGCCAGCAGCCAGCCCTGCCGCCGGTAACGGGGCGCCCCCCTCGCACGCTCTGCCCCCAGCGGGTCGGGGGGGTGACGCCCAGGGCTGGGGCGCCCCGCCAGCAACCGCCGCTCCGAAGCCAA